CCCCTTTTTTTTTTCTTTAGGTTAATAAAACGGGTACGGCGCTGACGGATGAGAAATATGGGGGTGCGGGGGACGGCTATGGGGAACAAGATAGGCTCGGATGTCTCTCTTTGTAGGAGAAAAACTAAAGATCGTGCTGAAAAAAAAAAGACGCGCAGAAAAAGGAAATGAAAGTGGCGAGAAAAATCTTCCAGGGAACGGGATAGTCAAGATATAAAATTTGAAAAGGAAACGAGAAGATAGTAAAAGCAGCCTCCTTTCTAGCCCTGAGTCGCCCGTTCCTGCTCGTGGCAGCCCCGCAGACTCACAACAAGCCCCTCTTCGGGGTATTAAGGCTTGAGGCAGCTTGTGCCGAAAGAGGCAGCTGAGATGATGTGGAGGAGCTGAAGGCCTGATTGAAAGAAAGTTGCCCCGATTATATTTGTGTGGAAAAGCTCACCTCTTGCCGAGCTCTAAAGTGTAATCAAGGCTGAGGCTTACACTTGAAGGATGTTAACTCTCATACGGGAACCTACTTTCTCCTAAACGATTTCTTGCCTACTGAATGAGAGCCTCCCAATTGAAGCAAAATGATCCTTATGTACTAATATCAAGCACAGCCACAAAGCGACCGGCTATTTATGCTGCCACTTTAGACAAAGATATTTAGTTATTCCCGGGTAGCAAGTGCACTTTTGCATTTTTAAGCACGAACCAGCCGAGCACAAACATATTTACAAGTGCAATTACAAAATAGTTATTTGACACTTCAAAGTCACTGGGTTAACTATACCTTCTCTGCAATTTTCTTAATATTCAGGTAATCACTTTATTGGATGTGTTTCCCAGGACAGTAGGCCTGGGTGTGAAGTACTTAGGGGAGGTTTCTCCTCGCATCTCGGGAACACCCGAGAAATATGAGCTTTGGAGGCACTGGACAACTTGGGAGATTTCTTCAAAGCCCGGAGTGACACCGGCTCCTCGCCGCATGTACGTGCGTGTGCCTGGGAAGGGGCTCTCTTTTGTTTTCACACCAGATCCGAAAGTGCCAGAAATGGCACCTCCGTAGGAACTGCAGGAAATTCACTGACAAGGTGGTGCAGCAGAGGAGCTGAAAGGTCTTCTCCACCTCGGCACTTGTGCCATATAAATAACTTTAGAAGGCGGCGGCTTCAGGTTCACAGGGACCACGGCAGCCTACGACGCTCCTTCCCTTTGGGAATAGCGAGTGGCACGCGGCTCTAACCTGGGTATTTTTTTCAGCAGACCCTCGATCCTTGCGACTAAATCACTGCTCCCCTTTGCACAGTTGCATTTTCTTACTCTTGGAAGTTAAAAAGAAAAAAGAAAAAGAAAAAAGAAAAAGAAAAAAAGAAAGAAAAAGAAAAGGTGGGGGCGGGGAGAGAGAAAGCTAAAAAATTTTAAAAAAAAAAAAAAGCCCCAGATGTGCGGAACTTAAGGTTTTAGGGAGAGAATTTGCCCTCGCGCTGGGGGTCTCGCACTGGGGGACTTAGGAGACATGAGAGAGGCTCCCGGGATGTTGAACGGAGGAAGCTGCTGAGCCCGCATCCTCAGCGGATCCCGCGCGGAGCCTCCGCGCCGCGGAGCTGCCCTCCCGCGGCCCTGCTCCCACGGGGGCAGCGGCGCCTCTCATTAAAGCACCCAGTCGCTTTCATGCTGGAAAGTTGCATTGGTTCATTCTTAACTGATCCATGTGCCTCCAATTTTTCTGAATCCGAACAAGTCTAAAACTCAAATAGTCAAGAGAGTGTCTTCAAGTTTATTAAAAGATACAGTCTGTGTGTTTTAAACTACCTTGCAAAGTGAGAGACAGTAGCTTTTTTTTTTTTTTTTAATCCTGACAAGTAAAACTTAAAGGTGTTTACCTTGTCATCAGCATGTAAGCTAATTATCTTGGGCAAGATGTAGGCTTCTATTGTCTTGTTGCTTTAGTGCCTATGCCCCGCCTCTGGTGGCAGCCTAAAACCTGGCGTCTGGCTAAAACAAACGAAAGGCAGCCCTGAGCCTCCACTCAATCCAATTAAGGCGGACTTCGTCCACTCGGTTACGTGTACATCCAACAAGATCGGCGTTAAGGCAACACCAGAATATTTGGCAAAAAAAAAAAAAAAAAAAAAAAAAAAGATTTCCCCCCCCTTCCTTTTTTTTTTTTTTTTTTTCCCAGCCGCCGAATCATGTCGATGAGCCCAAAGCATACGACTCCTTTCTCAGTGTCTGACATCTTGAGTCCTTTGGAGGAAAGCTACAAGAAAGTGGGCATGGAGGGCACTAACTTGGGGGCTCCCTTGGCAGCCTACAGACAGTCTCAGGTTTCTCAGCCGGCCATGCAGCAACACCCCATGGGCCACAACGGAACGGTGACGGCCGCCTACCATATGACAGCGGCGGGGGTCCCCCAGCTCTCCCATGCCACGATGGGGGGCTACTGCAATGGGAACCTGGGCAACATGAGCGAGCTCCCGCCTTACCAGGACACCATGAGGAACAGCGCTTCGGCCACAGGATGGTACGGAACCAACCCGGACCCCCGCTTCTCCTCAAGTAAGTGAGCCACGCGGTGGGCGC